AAGAACAAATTAGACTATGTCTTACTTCACGCCTTGGTCCTCTCATCTTAATACGTGACAAATATTTCATTAATATAACAATACCCACCCCCCTAAAAACAAGCATAGAAATAAAAAACCACCATTCCAAAGATTTTTGCCAAAGGTTGGGCCGAATAAGCGCCGTTATTAAACTATGAGTAAAATTCCACATTGTGTCAAGAAGTCCGTCGAAAAGTGCAAATTGGAGGCTATGGCTTCGTAATGTTAAATATGACACTGATCCCAGGGACTCTAAATTAGCCCTTGTCCTTAAATGCAACAACACGTACAGTTTAATTGAGTGTAATGTCAAACTTTTCCCCAGATACCCTTAATGGCATTCGAGTAACCGAACGATTAGATGTTTCATTGTTTCATTGAGTTTAATGTCAAACTTTTCCCCAGATATCCTTAATGGCATTCGAGTAACCGAACGATTAGATGTTTCATTGTTTCATTGAGTTTAATGTCAAACTTTTCCCTAGATATCCTTAATGGCATTCGAGTAACCGAACGATTAGATGACTCAAATGGACAGGCCGCATGGAGGCAGTTGAGAAGATGGCGTCTCGCTTACAATGTACACGTACGCGACAACACAGTCAGGGGAGTAACAGAACAATGTATATTCATTAACAACACCATGCTTCTAAAGGAGGGAGAAGTCCATCGGATTATCAAGAAAGGATACACTACCAGTAAAGGAGGAAGTATCAGGAAGGTTGCAAAACGACTGGGTGAGCAGTTTCGTAGGGTATCTCGAAAAGATACCAGTAAACGCTTGAAGACCATGACAATTCACCAAAAACTGTCACCGGTCTTTACAAACAAAGCCCCATTAACACCTGTCATAGCGGGTGATGTGCAGAAGATTCATCAAATTGACCCAGTGAATATGGCGAAGATGACAAATTCGAGTCAGATGGAAACCTTTAAGTACATTCTAAGTGTTATGGATGTCTTTAGTAGGTATGTGTGGCTCTTCCCATTGCCATCAAAAACAGTAAAAGGATTGCGGAAATACTAGATGAGCTTTACTTCTCAGAAGGCCAGCCCAAGGTTTTACAAAGTGACAACGGCAAAGGGTTCTTGGGCCACGTCAATGATTTGTGCACAGAAAGGGGAATAATTCGAGTAAAAGGACGACCATATCACCCACAAAGCCAAGGGAAAATTGAATCATCACATCGCACCTGGAAGAAAAAAATCCTTCTTGACTTTGTGAAAACGAAGAAAAGTCACTGAGCCCGAAGTGTAAAAAATATGCTTTTCTGCAAAACACAGAGTTTCAAGTCTATCATGGAAGAAAGGTTAATACCAATATCCCTGCTGCAGCAAGTGATTGCCGTCATTCTGATGTTGTTAGGTCCAGGCAGCGCGAAGTTCAACGTATGAGAGAGAAAGCTCGTCACGTCTCTGGGAAGAATGCACAGAATATGGTAAAAAGATCAATGGCTAAAAATCCTCCTAGTTTGTACCTTATTGGTGACAAAGTCTTGATAAGGATGACCGGGAAAGGCAAAATTTCAAATAGGGTAATTCACGAAGGCCAGATAGTTAAAACAAAACATAAAAAAACATACGTATAAAGTGAAGTTCAAGGAGGGCGGTCCATTGTTTGAAAAATGGTTTCGGGTTTCCGATACTGCTGCGACGACAAAAGACAAGGAAACAGAAAGATGGAAATTACATACCCATCTTTTGAAGAAAATTACCCTGTTTTGCCAGTGCAACGATGATAACTGTGAGCGTTCAGCTGTACTTTTGTGTTTGAACCACATGTCTTACTATTCGTTGGGATCAAAAATGTCATTTTCACCACCATTTTGGGCCAGAAAAAGTTTGCGGACATAATGGGCCATGCGGACATAATGGTCCGGAACACACGTATAAAAAAGGCCCTCTTCCATTTTGGGTAGAATATTGCCTTGAACGAAGACTAGAAGCTGGATCTTTCATGCGCATGCACGTTGCTACTCATCTGACATGTTCTGTTTTGAGCTGCGTGTCAAGCTCTCAAGCGAAATAATCTGCTTTTCGCCCAACAATCGGCAACATGTTCAAAGTGGTAGATCGGTTACACAATATAAAAGACGTCGACAAAAATATCAGCAACGTCTTTAGTTGGAAATGGTTGGAGAAGGATTGCAACAGAGATTTTTTGTCGGATTACGTCCGGAAAATAGACCAGCCGGGATAAGCAATTTGTTCGTGGTGCAATGACAGACTCAAGTACAGCTCTTCCTGTAAGATTGACTTGAAAACCACACCAAGTCAAAGAAACATGGCAAAATACATGAGGTAAGGAACAATACACCGACCATCCAGCCGTTTTTGCAGCCAGCCGGGCAGCAGTTGACTGTGTAGATGACCCACCAGCTGCCTGTGACAGGCCCTTGCCGTACGGTGCACCTCCGAATGTTGCTGACCCTGTGTATATGCAAACTGCAAATAGGCCCATGCCAACACCCTATGTGAGTTTCATTGATCGAAAAGCACATACGGGTACTCTGCTAACATCTTTCTTGGTAGAAAACAATATACCATTTTCATTGGCCTCTGCTACAGTCGATCTGTGTAAGATGTCACGTGACCCAAAGGCCCTTGATACAATGAGCTCGTCCAGCATAACTGCCTCTTACAAGGTGAAGGAAGGCCATGGTGTTCTGAACCACAACCACTTGTGAAAGATCTAAAGGAGTCCAAGTTTTCTATCAATGTGTTTTTCCAACAACAATAAGAAGGTGTTAAGTGTTCTAGTGAGTTATTTTTCAGAGGAGTTTCAACAATCAGTTGGGCAAGTCGGTCTCTCCAAGTTGTCAATGCAGCAACTGTATTGATTTGTGTAACAGAATTACATCCCATCGTCACAGTTGGTCTCCAACCTCTCGGATTCTCAAATTACAAGAGGAAGGTGAATGGATTTGAAGCCAAACTGCCTGAATCAGCCCCCTAGTTGTTAGACATTGATGGCGATATTGTAATGGACCGAGCGGTAACTAATTGACTTAGCGGTGGGGCGACTGACAAAAAAACAGTAAACGAAAATTAAGACAAATTTAACACACACAAAAAAGCACACAGCAACACAGGATTTCCAGAGGGCCTTTTCAGACAATGTATTTTTTATAGACTAATACTTAACAATTATAAAGGAGGAGGAAACTATGTAGAAAAAGGTTGTGTAGTGTTTAAACAACCTAAGGGCGTGGCCCGATATAACTGCACTGGGTTAGAGTTAAACATAACAAAAAAAATCTGATGAAGTGGTGCTAGAGGCAATAGGCACAAATGTGCACACAACCAAAGAAACAAGGCCAAATGAAATTTGGGGGAGGAAAATTTACAGAGACTTATCTGCACAAGCGTAAAAAACTAAAGATCCCCCAAGCCGATGAGTTCATCTGACCCATGCTGCCAGTTGGCTTTGGCAAAATGACCACACCTCTAGCTACTGCTACTGGGTTTTATACAGTCATGGCGATCTTCCCGACTGATTATTAATGGAAACTATGTGAGAAACTATTCGAATGCATTGACAAAAGAAGTCTGTGCCTTACCCCAGTACACAACAATAGGCCTACCTTAAGACTAAAAGGAACTTGGGAGGCCTCACCCAGCGTAGGTAATATATGCACCAATACAATTACATTACGAGCTATTTGTTAAAATATTTGCCATTATGTGCACAACAGTGCACAGAAATTCTGCAAGCTCTTTGGGAATGTAATTGAACAGTTAGCTAATGATTTTCAAGTACATACTGACTGCAAATTTTCTCCTGACTTGCGTGAGTACGTGGAAGCAGTCTGCTCATTGATGGGTGTTGATTTTCATGTGCCTTCTAAGCAAGATGGTTCTCAATTTACAACGTGGTACAGAAGATTCCTGGTGTGATAAAAGCCATTCAGATATTTTATTACTATATGGGTTTCAGCTAATGTGTACAAGGAATATCTTCCTGTGATCAACGATATTCTCAGCCATGTATCAGTCGAGGCAAGACAAAGGATATACCAGATCGTAAGATTCTGAAGAAGTCATTAACCAAAGAGGGGAAAGACCGTAAAGCAAGGAGCATTGACAAAGTTCTGTAAAGACCTAAAAGAACAATGCTTAACATGAATTTGTACCTGTCAGTCTTGCCATTGTTCAAGTCATTCATCTTGATCTTCGAACAGAAGCAACCAATGTGCCATCGCCTCCATGATGAAATGGTTGACTTATTCAAGCACTTCTTCTCCCTGTTC